GAAATACTCTGCGTATTTAAGAGTTTTCTGCATGCACACCTAAATGTCATTCATCTTTGTACAAACACTGTATCATACTGAAATAAAATATTATTATTATTATTATTAGTTACCATTATCATTTACTCCTGGCACTCCGGAGTAACTCGATCACTAGTGCACTCAGCTCACACACTGACGGCCGGAGATGGAATCCCCGGTACAGCTGGAATACATTAGAACGTGTTTCCATAAGACACTTGTTGTCCATGTTCATCTATCAGTATAAAATGGGTACCTGGGTGTTAGTCGACTGGTGTGGGTCCTATCGTTGGCCAACACGATGCCCCGTGTCCTGGTGGCAAAAGCTCTTGCTTCACACGGTGAGGGCCCGGGTTCGTTTCCCGGCGAAGGGGTGGAAACATTGGACGGTTTCCTTACACCGGTTGTCTGTGTTCACTCATCAGTGAAATGGGTACCTGGGTGTTAGTCGACTGGAGTGGGTCGCATCCTCTGACAAAACTGACCTAATTTGCCCGAAATGCTCTGCATAACAAGGGGCTTTCTATATAGTAGTACGTCATTGTATACCTTGTACATGTACTTGTAGAAATAAAGATATTATTATTATTATTAATTTAACCACTTCGCCATCTACAACAGTTTCTCTGAACAGACTAGACAAAAGATGGTCAGCAGGGATACAACGGCAAGAAAATAAAATTATTGACCCTGTCTCTAAGTAGTATAAAGATTATAAGCCTGAAAACAAAGTAAGAAAAAAAATAAGTGATGATCTTTTAACTGAAATTCACAATATTTGTAATCTACGATATCAAATGAAAAGCTGGAAGAATAATCATAAAAGAACTGAATAAGCTCGGATCAAAAGTAAGATAAATAGGAAGTGTTTAAGGTACTCAGGACTCCGGTGTTGCGAGGGAAATAATGACTTAGTTTACACAATAAGAATTAAAAAAAAATTGAAATGCTTTCTTTCTGATTTCCTCTTCATTGAAGTTTATTCTGTAATTTAGAAGAATGAATTTTTAAATTCAGGCGAGCAATATCAAAAGCAATGTTAGTGAGAAGGTTACAGAGATCTTGTGGAAGAGAAGCAAAGAGAGCACTGACGTCAACGTGCTCTCTTTGCTTCTCTTCCACAAGATCTCTGTAACCTTCTCACAAACATTGCTTTTGATACTGCTCGCCTAAATTTAAAAATTCATTCTTCTAAACTACAGAATGAAGTTCAACGTTCCTCTACATCCAGAGGCAACAGTGAATATTACACAGCTTTCACTCTTTAGCCAGTTGAAAAACTAATATAGAAAATTTTCAATATACGGTATACCCCAAATATATAGTAACAACAGTATCGAAAACTACTTGCATTACACAGAGAAGAATAAGGGTAAGTGAAATTACGTAGATAAGATTATCTGTCACTATGATATTACGTTATCACAGCCAATGGTAATCTGAGGACGATAAGTTGCGTCTATTGGAGAGTCTTAGCGTACACTCTACTGATCAGTACACTTGAGTGATATCGTAAGTGTTCCACTCACAATTACAGCCATCTAATGATTTTAGGGGTTCCACTTATCCCACAGAGACCAAAGCATCCCAAGATACCAGTTTAGTGATTGTAGGCGTTCCAACCACTGTATAACGTTCAAATCTCCTCATACACAAGTTTGGTGGGTGTAAATGTTCCATTCTGATGTGTAGTGATGATTAGTAATGTGAAATGAATTGTGATTTGCCAAGCCCATGATTCTCTTCAAATTGCTTATTCTCTCTAGGCTGGAATATTGCTGTACACTAACAGCCCCTTTCAGTGCAGGTGAAATTGCAGACCTGGAGAGTATACAGAGAACTTTCACGCACGTATAAGTACAATAAAGCACTTTAATTATTGGGAACAGTTGAAGTCCCTTGACGTGTACTCCTTGGAACAGAGGCGAGAAAGATGCATGGAAAATACTAGAGGGACTAGTCCCAAATCTGCACACGGAAATCACTCCCTAGGAAAGCAAAAGAGTCGGCTGGCAGTGCAACATCTTAGCGCACTCATGGCACAGGGACACCATGAGTGCGCTAAGAGACAACACAGTAAGTGTCAGGGGCTCAAGACTGTTCAATTGCCCCCCAGCATACATAAGGGGGGTTAATACTAGACTCCTGACTGTCTTCAAGAGGGAGCTGGACAGGCACCTGAAATCAGTATCTGATCAGCCGGGCTGTGGTTCGGACGTCGGTTTGGGTGCGGCCAGCAGTAACAGCCTGGTTGATCAAGCCCTGATCCACCGCGAGGCCTGGTCATAGACTGGACCGCGGGGGCCTTGACCTTCGGAACACCCTTCAGGTATGGGGTAACTACCGTCCACATGACGGGTTTGCGGTGACTACCGTCCACATGACGGGTTTGCGGTGACTACCGTCCACATGATGGGTTTGCAGTGACTACCGTCCACATGATGGGTTTGCGGTGACTACCGTCCACATGACGGGTTTGCGGTGACTGCCGTCCACATGACGGGTTTGCGGTGACTACCGTCCACATGATGGGTTTGCGGTGACTACCGTCCACATGATGGGTTTGCGGTGACTACCGTCCACATGATGGGTTTGCGGTGACTACCGTCCACATGATGGGTTTGCGGTGACTACCGTCCACATGATGGGTTTGCGGTGACTACCGTCCACATGATGGGTTTGCGGTGACTACCGTCCACATGACGGGTTTGCGGTGACTACCGTCCACATGATGGGTTTGCGGTGACTGCCGTCCACATGATGGGTTTGCGGTGACTGCCGTCCACATGATGGGTTTGCGGTGACTACCGTCCACATGACGGGTTTGCGGTGACTACCGTCCACATGATGGGTAAGAGGAACACATTAAAGATAACCAACTGACCCAAGAAAGCTAGTGTCACCTAATTAGTGTACTTGATGGGTGTTTGAAGGGTCAACGTTCCTGCGGCCCAGGCCTGGAGGTGGATCAGGACCTGATCGACCAGGCTGTTACTGCTGGCCGCATGCAAACAGACTTACGAACCACAGTCAGGTTGGTCGGAAACTGAGTTTAGGTGTCTGTCCAGTGCTTTCTTGAAGATACCCAGGGGTCTATTGGTAATCCCCCTTATGTAAGCTAGGAGGCAGTTGAACAGTCTTGGGCTCCTGACACTTACTGTGTTATCTCTTGGTGTACTGCTGGTTCCTCTGCCGTTCACTGGGCGGGGTGTTGCATCACCTACCGAGTCTTTTGCTGTCATACCTGGAGTTTACCTGGAGAGTTCCGGGGGTCAACGCCCCCGCGGCCCGGTCTGTGACCAGGCCTCCTGGTGGATCAGAGCCTGATCATCCAGGCTGTTACTGATGGCTGCACGCAATCCAACGTACGAGCCACAGCCCGGCTGGTCAGGTACTGACTTTAGGTGCTTGTCCAGTACCTGCTTGAAGACAGCCAGGGGTCTATTAGTAATCCCCCTTATGTATGCTGGGAGCCAGTTGAACAGTCTCGGGCCCCTGACACTTATTGTTTTGTCTCTTAACGTGCTAGTGACACCCCTGCTTTTCATTGGGGGGATGTTGCATCGTCTGGCGAGTCTTTTGCTTTCGTTGTGAGTGATTTACGTGTGCAAGTTCGGTACTAGTCCCTCTAGGATTTTCCAGGTGTATATTCAAATTCAAAGTTTATTCTCTATAAAGATTACAATGTTGAATTTACAGAATTTGGTTGTTGTGTGGTTTACATGTAGTTAAATAATGATTACAGTGTACCACTAGAACGCCTAGCATGGCTAGGCATTTCGGGCATACTTAGTTTAATTTTTTATTTTAAAATATTACAAATTATGAGGTAAGTTGGTATTATGGCTAAGTGACTAAATACTAGTTTGTGAGTTTAGCAATGTGAATGTATCTCTCCCGCCTGCGTTCCAAGGAGTACAGGTTCAGGAACCTCAAGCGCTCCCAGTAATTGAGGTGTTTTATCTCCGTTATGCGCGTCGTGAAGGTTCTCTGTACATTTTCAAGGTCAGCAATTTCACCTGCCTTGAAAGGTGCTGTTAGTGTGCAGCGTAGGGAGTGATTTTTCCACTTCCAAATTCACATTCAAATTTTTATTTCTTTGTGTAGTGTATAATGTGTGGTTTACATGTTGAAAAATATTGTTGGGATTCTTTTTGATATTAATAATAACAATAATAAAATCACTAAGGACGTCACTAACATGCCTGAGCATCTCGGGCAGAGATGAACAATTCTCGGTTTAAAAACACCATAAATTAATTTTGTTCTTTCTAACCCCTCAAGGAAGGCTCCTTGACGCTGGTGAGGGGCTCTTGATCTAGGGAATTGGATCTGTGCTCCAGTTGGATCTGTGCTCCAGTTCCCTGAATTAAGCCTGAATGCCTTCCATCCCCCCATAGGCGCTGTATAATCCTACGGGTTTAGTGCTTCCCCCTTGATTATAATAATAATGTTCTTTCTAACAACACAGAAACAAGCATGAACTATAAATATCTGATTCAGTTATTTTTGTTTAGTTTCAAAATACATCGACTATCATATATAGTTCCCCGGCTGGAGAAAGTTTTGTGCAGGATTTTATGTGACTGGGGTTTATTAACGAATAATTTATTATGTTTTTTTTTTCAAGTTAAAAAATTGTAAACTCATTATGTTGTGTATTAGTGGATATTATTCTTAAGAGTAGATGAGAAGAATAAGAAAAATAATGATTCAAATGGCAAGGGTTGTGTGCGGAGTTGTCATCTATTTCCAACTTGTATTTGTTATTACCTAATTAACAAACTTTTCGGTGCCAATATTATCATTTATATGCGTTTTATACTTGTACTAAAAGCATATAAGAATTTATTTTATTACCTTATAGAAATTAAACGACTGGCATAAACTGTGCAACGGAGGCTGTATTTTTATCAAAATTTGACTCAGCATTTACGCGGATTTTTTTTAAATTATCACAGTTGAGCATAATGGATGGTGTGTGTGTGTGTGTGTATGAATACATATGGCAGTATGTAGCAGCTGGAGTGAAACTGTTGGCGTGGCAACTGGTGGCGTCACTGTGGCTGTGACTCTCAGCCTGGCAGAGGTGAAAGTGACCCACCCTGGTGGCGGGCGCAGCACTGCTAGCAAGAGGTACAGTACATATTTAAGTTTTTTACCTCCCAATAGCAGGGAATAGTTCCCCCAGACATCACACTAGTCTGCATGCTGTTAATTAATCGCTGGGTTGTGTTAATAAACTGGTGATGTCTGACAATTCTTACCTCAGAAAATATATCAAAAATTAAGTGTTGTATAACAATGACGGGGTTTACTAAGCTTATTACTGTCATCGAATATTATGTATGGTAGAGGACAGTAATCAACAACATATCGCGTACACAACGAGACATTAAAGAAAATCATATAAACAAATAGTTTAAAGAGAGTATTTCGTAAATGCATAACATATACCAAAAGTAATGCTGTGTGATGTGCATCCCTGATGAATGTGGCTCCAGAAAGGCAGAGGAATGATTTTTATTTTTTTTTAGCTAACACGCGTGTAATTTTACCTTATTCCTAGTAATGACCCTCGTATTGTAGATAGTCTTAATGACCCTCATGTAGTAGTCTTAATAGTATGATAATAAGATATTATCTCCTTTATAGAATAATAAGATATTGTTTCTTTTATATTACAATAATATTATCTCCTTTGTTATAATAATGTAAAAGGACCCCAATGGAAATAAATCACTGTCTGATTTTTTTGGGTTATCCTTGGTACTTTACACATATGCTGTTATGTATGATAATCTGTGTAACTGTGCATACCTGAATAAACTCACAAGATATGATTACTGATGGGTGCAAATCAGTATGTCATAGAAAAAAAGTTTTGGACAGTGTACTTACTGTACTGACCTAAGTCTGCTTCCCAGCATTTGTTAGTTGTGTTGCAGCTGCTGGGCTGCAGGTATCTGTAACATACCAGTTAGTCGTGCCTGTGTGTAAATTCATGTATGAGAGGTGCAACTAGTACGCCCTTCCCTAATGAGTAGGGCTATTTTCTTACTACCAACCTACACATTGTGTGTATGTGTGTGTGTACTTGTGTATTTATATTCTTTAATTTAGGTTTGCAGAGGTCGAATGTCTGTTCCTGGCACCGCGTCTCCGCTGGGTTTATTCTAAGTTACATTAACCCTGTATTAATATGTATTGGTAGAATTACCGACAATATATATACTATCATACCTATGTATGGATCCCGCCTCTGCCACTTCGTTGTCTAGGTCGATCTCCTTCCTGACCTTTCTAAGGCTGAAGAAGTATTTCCTAACATCCCTGTGATTCATCTGTGTTTTTAACTTCCAGCTGTGCCCTCGTATTCCCGAGACCCGCCTCTCAAACAAAATACCTCTCTTCACCCTGTCAAATCATCTCAGTATTCTGTATATTATAATCATGTCATGTCTCGTCCTTCTGTCCTAGTGTCGTTAAATTTAGTTCTTGTCTCTCCTCATGGCTTATACCCCTCACCTCTGGGACTAGTCTCCTAGCAATCATTTTTGCTTTCCAGCTTCTTTACGTGATCTTTTAGATGTGGGTTCCATGTTGGCGCTGCTTACTCCAAGATGGGCCGTGTTAGGTTCGTGAACTCCTCCTTGTTGACATTCCTGAAAACTGCCTTTACTTGCCTGTCTCTCATTTACTGCAGCGGTTATCCAGTTGATGTAAACTCATCCTGAGGTCCTCTATCAAGATTTTCATAACTGCATTTACCGGGGTTACATTCTAAAAGCCACTTTTCAAATTAATCCTGTAACTTGTTCAGATCCACTTTTAGCATTTCCTGGTCTGCTCCTGTTTGTATTATCTTTATTAGTTTTATGTCATCTACGAACAGGGACACCTCTGACTCGATTTTTTCTATCGTCATTTACATTAGCAAGAAACAGTACTGATATAAGTACTGACCCTTGTGGAATCCCACTCATTACATTAGACCAGTGGTTCCCAAACTTTTTCAGCTTGTTACCCAATTTAACATGCCACATAAAGCATGTTACCCCTTTCACAAAATGTTGTTATTATTGATATATATGGCTAAACGTGAACGTACACAGCCTCGCATACTCTGCTAATCCTAGCAAAACCATTGAAAACGTAAGAACCACACATACATTATATATAAAATTAATAATAGCTACAAATTCACAGTAACAGTGGGTAAATACTAACTATATACTGCACAGGACAGTACACATACATACCAGCTTATGTCTACCTCGGCTGATGCTCACAGATAAACTGACAGTGTGAAATAGAGGCAGCCTCAGGAAGTGAGTGACGCGTACTGGACAGGTCGATCTGGGCTACTGAGTGACTTTTGTCCTGAAGCATACTTGTCAAAATACTTTTGGGTTTCCACACACTTAGCTATATATTTCTTCTTTTCTAATACTGTATATTAGTTTTTGATGTTTATTGTTATTTGGTTTAACTTTATTACTTACTTATAATAGGTTTACTTTACAACTTTATATACTAAGACAAAGTTAACAATTCTCATACCGGGTACCGCATTGTTTTCTTGATTTTCAGAATTCACAACTTTTTTTCTGTCACCCCTCCATTACCCCCCAAAAATGGTTAAATTACCCCAGGGGGTAATTTACCCCCAGTTTGGGAACCACTGCATTAGACCATTCCATTACCTCCTCCTAGACAATAACTCGTTGTTTCCTTGTTAAATATTCCTTGAACCATTATAGAGCTTTTCCTGCCTGCTCCTGTAGCTTCTGTTCTAGTCGAACGCCATTTTAGTCCCAAAAATATACAGTCCACTCATCTCTCTCTCTCTCTCTCCTGCCTAACTTTGTTACCTTGTTATAGAACTAGCAGATTTGTGAAACAAGATTTGCCTTCTTTAAAACTGTAATGTTTGTTGCTTATGACTCCACTCCTTCCTTGGTGCTGCACTGTGCACTACTCTTCTGATAATCTTCTCCATAACCTTACATAATATGCATGTCAGTAATAATGGCCTGTAATTTAATGCTACCCTTTTTAAAATGTCCAGACTGCCTTCGCTGTTTTTCAGACATCAAGCACCTGCCCTGTTTTATGTGACCTGTTGAATATCGCTGCTAGTAGTTCGAACATTTCTCTGTTCCTTCTTATACAACCCATGGAGAGATTAGTACCTGATCTCATTGTCATCGATGTATTTACCTTATTAGCTTCAGTGACCAAAAATTAGTAAAGAATTACTAGTTTCATTCCCCAAGTATGTTATTAACACAACCATCTCAAAGAATAATTTATATTTGCAAGACCAAATGCTGAATAACTCGACTAAATTTCCAATGACAACCAAATAGTTTATATCACAAATAATTGTTATTATCACAAGTAAATGGCTACTATCACAAGTAAATTGTTACCACGAGTAAATGGCTACTATCACAGATAACTGTTATTATCACGAGTAAATGGCTACTATCACAAGTAAACTGTTATTATCACAAGTAAATGGCTATTATCGCAAGTAAACTGCTACTATCCAAAGAAAATTTTTATTATCACGAATAAATGGCTACTATCCCAGGTAAATTATCACAAATAAATGGCCAGTATCACAAAACCGAGAAGACTTTGAAGAAATTATTCAGTTAACACGAAAATGTGATACTTAAATGTAAATATGATTGGAGAACGAGGAGTGCAAAGAGAAGTAGAAGGAGAGGAAGAAGAGTGTGATGAGATAAGAAAGGTAGAAGAGGAGGGAGAGAGGAGAACTGAGATCAGTACAAAGACTAGGCGAGAATAATTGGGAGGACAAGAGGAGGAGGAATATTGTGAGTAGGAGGAGGGTGACGACCACTAGGAGGAGGAGGAAGGTGACGACAACTAGGAGGGTGACGACAACTAGGAGGAGGGTGACACACCAGTCACCCTCAAGCATGGTTTCAAACTATGTTTTTCTCTATTTTCTGAACTCACCGTGAATATATATTTTTCCATTTTACTTTTCGGAGTTACATTCTATTTAAAATTATCCACAATCCTTAAAAAAAAGGTATTTTGTTTTGATAAATTTAAAAATCTAATTCGATAAAATTATCAAAATATGGAAAATTGGCACCCACACCGCTCAGTATAAACACAAAAATAATTCTTTTCAAGATACACCAGTACATTTGATGTTTGAAGCTGATCAGAAGAGACATTCACTAGTTATTATATGGGGAAACAATTTACTTAATAAATTTGGCAAACTGGGACTCATGCCACCCAATAGCAGCGTGAGCCTTGTGTTCATCACAACCACACCATTGTTGAAAATTTGAAGCCAATCGGATGAATCATTCTCCAATTATGGCCATGGATTTTAAAGTTTTTACTATTTTCCGCATCGACAAATTTACCTACTTGGAAACGAAACTTAATGGGCACGTAAGTAATTTTTCCCGTATAATCTACCTTGTCCATAATTACTATCGCATTTACTTTGTTTCGTAAGGTGAAGTCCAGGATCTTTCCTTAATTCATGGTTAAGGAAAGAATGAAATAAGGAAAGATCCTGGAGTTCACCTTATGAAACAGACAAAGCAAATGCGATAGTAATTATGGACAAGATAGATTATAGGGGAAAAATAAACATGTTATTAGAAGACAAGGGAACTTACGTGTCTCTTACTGGATACTATCCTGACCCTCAGATACATTACTCATTAAATATCGCAGTCGGTGACGACGTATAATTATATTTACTTATCGTGATTTAACGGGAATAAAAATTTTACTGTTTTACACATTATGATCAACTCTTCATCCATACATTTGAATTTGAATTTCCACCATCGTTATATTTCTTGGTATTTTTTTTTTTTTTTTTTGCATTTTTTTTAACGTCACTGAGGCTTTTGTAAGATATCCTAGCCGTTCCAGGCTGTGAATTCAACAACTTTGATCATAGATCATATGAACATACAAATTGTTCCATGAATGTAGTCCTCGTTACCGTACACTAGTGTTGAAAATTTGAAGTCAATCGGATGAGGGATTCTCGAAGGAAAAAAAATAATTCAGTCAATCACTTAGTGGTTTTCCCTCTGGGATACCTAATAAATTGTCAGATGATGTTATGCAATGTTCTCTACGACTTATAATTACGATTAGCTCAAATGGCAAAAGTTTTTAACTTTTATTATTTGATTCCTGGCTCTCTATAAGCTAGTATAGTGTATCAGTATACCAGAATGTGATGTAAGTCTGAGTACGTTGAGCTCTGTGCTCGAACTGCTGAACACGCGTTAAGAACAGAACACCTGCGTCAAGAACAGAACACTTGCGTTAAGAACTGAACACTTGTGTAAAGAACTGAACACTTGCGTAAAGAACAGAACACCTGCTAGGTAAAAAACACGATTTTCCGTCATTCGAGAGCACACGCATGCGCGAGACCTCAATATTAGTGTGACCACATTCATGGTGTTAACCAGTGTAACTGATTTTTTTATTTTGTTTTAAATTCAACTTTATACATTTTCGTAATTAGACTTTTCTTGTATTTATAGCCATGATGAGAATCGATATTTATTGAAAGGCTGTCCCAATGACTGTGCTTACCCTCCCATTAATTATACTGATCATTTAGTAGAATAAACGAAACATTTATACTATCATACCAGAGGAGGGTCGAACCTATGAATCTTGGAACAAAATATGCAGTAGTATCCACACCAAGACTGGCTGCACCTGACTAGACTTATACACCAGGGATGTTTTGAATTATTTACCTATACACCAGGGTGCACCTGAGTGTACACTTGTGGTGCAACACTTGTCTTGTAACACCATGTCATGTTTCCCACACCAACATAATACAGTCGACAAGCAGCTGGGATGTTTCCTCCCCCCCACCCCAAACACACACACACACAAGGCTTCGTCGTTTTCAATAAAACATCAGATGATGTACTTTGCAGGTGTGTGTGTGTGCATGTGTGTGTGTGTGTGTAGTGTAGTATAGTGTAACGTAGTGTTGTAGATTTAAATGTTTGTTGTTATTCAGCTACTTGCTACTGCTTTTGATATTTCCATAATTTAAACTCAGCCATGGATGAGGGACGAAGCGTCTCATGTATTTAATGATTTCAGGAGTGTGCAGCATCACCAGTCATCCCACTTACCAGACGAAGGACGTATAGGAACCCATTCACCCTACGACACACAATTTAATGGTAACTCTTGCAATAGCATCAGGAGACACCTAAGCAACACAAGATGTCATCTCAAGGTGCCTACAGTGCCACTCGTATCAGAGGTTTGTCAGTGAGGGACATCCGCTTTCCTACCTCACTAAAATCAGATGGATCAGATGCTATTGTGAGTACCATACCAAGTTTAATATATATAATATATATATATATATATATATATATATATATATATATATATATATATATATATATATATATAATATATGCAATAAGATCACAGTAAACAGGTGGTTTTAAAATATGCAAAACAACCACTGTGAAAGAGTAGTGAAATTCCAAGCGCTTTTGTGACTACTCACATTGTCAAGGAACTATGACATTGTGAGTAGTCACGAAAGCGCTTGGAATTTCACTACTCTTTCACAGTGGTTGTTTTGCATATATATATATATATATATATATAATATATATATATATATATATAATAATATATATATATATATATATATATATAATATAAATTATAATGTGTGAAAATAAATGGTATAAAATACCATCCGATTGACTTCATTAAACTACATATGTGTTTATGTTTCCATAATTATAGTGTGTGCAGGTTCAAATCCTGTTGTGGCCTGCGAGATAATGTTTGTTAAAAATTTCGCCCGTGTGTGTGTGTGTGTGTGTGTTCATCAAGTTACGCTCATTAATTTGTATTTGAGGGGGCGTCGAGACTCGCCTCCTGATTCTGCCTCGCTCTGATCTTCATCATTGATGTCTGGCCTCTTTGGCCTTATCATATCTACTCCTGAAGTCGTGTATTGAGTTTGCCTCCACCTCTGTCTCATCCACGTCATTCTACCTTTCAACTACATGGATACTAAACAAATGCTTCCTTATCTGTTTCGTCCCCTTGATTCTGGTTCTCTTAATTCAAACTGTTTGTCCCTGTCTGCCTATCAGATCCCTTTAAGATTTTGTATGTTGTTATCATGCCTTTCCTTGTCTCTACCAGTTTCGCCAGGTTCATTTTCTTCAGTTCAGTTCCTCCCTGTAATTCAGGTATTAGTCTGGTTGTTCCGTTCCTCCTTGTAATTTAGGTATTAGTCTGGTTGTTCAGTTCCTCCTTGTAATTCAGGTCTGGTTGCTACTCTTTGCTCCTTCTCAACCTTTCCACGTTCATGTCCGAGTGTGGACTCCATGCTGAGGCTATATACTCAAGGATTTGCCAGACATACATTATAAATAAGGTTCTGAAGGTTTCTTTATTTACGACCCTGAATGCTGCTCTATGATTTACTTGCGTATGTCGCTCATGCCATACAATTCATATGTACTTCAGGCAATATGGTGGGTGTTGTATTCACCCTCGGTTCCTTTGTGTCTATTTGATATCTGCTGCTTCTCTCCTCCCATGCTCTGTGCCTGGTCTTTCCTCACCTCCAGTTCGCAAGACCTTGTATTTGTTTGGGTCGAATTCGAGAAGCCACTTGCTTGACATCCTTAGCCTGTCGAGGTCTTCCTGGAGTTTATCACTGTCCTCTCCTGCTTGTTATTCTTCACATTACTTTTACATCATCTACAAACAGTGACCCATGGCACTCGATTCCCTCTGGTGGGTCGTTCATGTATATCAGAAACAGTGGCAGTCTTAAAATTGATCCTTGTAGGAACGCACTCGCTACTCTCCTTCTCCATTTGTTTTTGACCTCTTCTACATTTGTTGGTGACCCCTTTTACAATTCTTGGTGACCCCCTCTACATTTGTTGATGACCCCCTCTACATTTCTTGATGACCTCCTCTACATTTGTTGGTGATCTCTACATTTGTTGGTGACCCCCCTCTACATTTGTTGATAGTCCCCTCTACATTTGTTGTTGACCCCCTCTACATTTGTTGTTGACCCCCTCTACATTTGTTGTTGACCCCCTCTACATTTGTTGGTGACCCCCTCTACATTTGTTGGTGACTCCCTCTACATTTGTTGGTGGCTCCCTCTACATTTGTTGGTGGCTCCCTCTACATTTGTTGGTGGCTCCCTCTACATTTGTTGGTGACCCCCTCTACATTTGTTGGTGACTCCCTCTACATTTGTTGGTGGCTCCCTCTACATTTGTTGGTGACTCCCTCTACATTTGTTGGTGACCCCCCTCTACATTTGTTGATAGTCCCCTCTACATTTGTTGGTGACTCCCTCTACATTTGTTGGTGGCTCCCTCTACATTTGTTGGTGGCTCCCTCTACATTTGTTGGTGGCTCCCTCTACATTTGTTGGTGACCCCCTCTACATTTGTTGGTGACTCCCTCTACATTTGTTGGTGGCTCCCTCTACATTTGTTGGTGGCTCCCTCTACATTTGTTGGTGGCTCCCTCTACATTTGTTGGTGACCCCCCTCTACATTTGTTGATAGTCCCCTCTACATTTGTTGGTGACCCCCCTCTACATTTGTTGATAGTCCCCTCTACATTTGTTGGTGACCCCCCTCTACATTTGTTGGTGACCCCCCTCTACATTTGTTGATAGTCCCCTCTACATTTGTTGGTGACTCCCTCTACATTTGTTGGTGACCCCCTCTACATTTGTTGGTGACCCCCCTCTACATTTGTTGGTGACTCCCTCTACATTTGTTGGTGGCTCCCTCTACATTTGTTGGTGGCTCCCTCTACATTTGTTGGTGGCTCCCTCTACATTTGTTGGTGACCCCCTCTACATTTGTTGGTGACTCCCTCTACATTTGTTGGTGGCTCCCTCTACATTTGTTGGTGGCTCCCTCTACATTTGTTGGTGGCTCCCTCTACATTTGTTGGTGACCCCCCTCTACATTTGTTGATAGTCCCCTCTACATTTGTTGGTGACCCCCCTCTACATTTGTTGATAGTCCCCTCTACATTTGTTGGTGACCCCCCTCTACATTTGTTGGTGACCCCCCTCTACATTTGTTGATAGTCCCCTCTACATTTGTTGGTGACTCCCTCTACATTTGTTGGTGACCCCCTCTACATTTGTTGGTGACCCCCCTCTACATTTGTTGGTGACTCCCTCTACATTTGTTGGTGGCTCCCTCTACATTTGTTGTTGACCCCCTCTACATTTGTTGGTGACTCCCTCTACATTTGTTGGTGACCCCCCTCTACATTTGTTGGTGGCTCCCTCTACATTTGTTGGTGACCCCCCTCTACATTTGTTGATAGTCCCCTCTACATTTGTTGGTGACCCCCTCTACATTTGTTGGTGACTCCCTCTACATTTGTTGGTGGCTCCCTCTACATTTGTTGGTGGCTCCCTCTACATTTGTTGGTGGCTCCCTCTACATTTGTTGGTGGCTCCCTCTACATTTGTTGGTGACTCCCTCTACATTTGTTGGTGGCTCCCTCTACATTTGTTGGTGGCTCCCTCTACATTTGTTGGTGGCTCCCTCTACATTTGTTGGTGGCTCCCTCTACATTTGTTGGTGGCTCCCTCTACATTTGTTGGTGGCTCCCTCTACATTTGTTGGTGGCTCCCTCTACATTTGTTGGTGGCTCCCTCTACATTTGTTGGTGGCTCCCTCTACATTTGTTGGTGGCTCCCTCTACATTTGTTGGTGGCTCCCTCTACATTTGTTGGTGGCTCCCTCTACATTTGTTGGTGGCTCCCTCTACATTTGTTGGTGGCTCCCTCTACATTTGTTGGTGGCTCCCTCTACATTTGTTGGTGACCCCCTCTACATTTGTTGGTGGCTCCCTCTACATTTGTTGGTGGCTCCCTCTACATTTGTTGGTGACCCCCTCTACATTTGTTGGTGACTCCCTCTACATTTGTTGGTGACCCCCTCTACATTTGTTGGTGACCCCCTCTACATTTGTTGGTGACTCCCTCTACATTTGTTGGTGACTCCCTCTACATTTGTTGGTGACCCCCTCTACATTTGTTGGTGACTCCCTCTACATTTGTTGGTGACTCCCTCTACATTTGTTGGTGACCCCCTCTACATTTGTTGGTGGCTCCCTCTACATTTGTTGGTGACTCCCTCTACATTTGTTGGTGACTCCCTCTACATTTGTTGGTGGCTCCCTCTACATTTGTTGGTGACTCCCTCTACATTTGTTGGTGACCCCCTCTACATTTGTTGGTGGCTCCCTCTACATTTGTTGGTGACTCCCTCTACATTTGTTGGTGGCTCCCTCTACATTTGTTGGTGACTCCCTCTACATTTGTTGGTGGCTCCCTCTACATTTGTTGGTGACTCCCTCTACATTTGTTGGTGGCTCCCTCTACATTTGTTGGTGACCCCTCTTTACATTTGTTGGTGTTCCCCTCTACATTTTTTGATGATCCCCTCTACATTTGTTGGTATTCCCCTCTACATTTGTTGGTGACTCCCTCTACATTTGTTGGTGACTCCCTCTACATTTGTTGGTGACCAAATCCCTCTATATTTGAGTACCAGACGCTGGTTGTCGCGTGTTGTTTTCTGGTCAAGCAGTTTTCTTGCTTCAAGATAAGGAGTCTCTGGATTTTTAGAGTATTTTTTAAACTTCTCCCTGCTGGTCCCTCTGTTCTTCAGCAGGTGTTTTGTTCCCTGTTCCAGTTCTCTGCTGCTTCCTTCTTCCTTCCCATGTCTCCCTTTCTGCCTTTGTTTTCCTTCGTACAGTCTTCTTAGTGTGTATATTCACCTAATTGTGGTTGCAGGGGTCGAGTCACAGCTCCTCTGTGTGTGTGTCCTGAAAATTCATAATAAATGGATATATTCATTCAGTTGAGTGCTTAGCCTTGAAGCTGTTGTCTAAAAAGTGTTTTACCGGCAGTATCACTGCACTTCATCTCAAAGTACTCTAGCTAAACAAGCAGCTGTAAAAATCTATTGTTTACACGAGCAGTGCATTCAGTCTCAAAATCAATAACGAGAACAATGAACGAGATATCTTCAGAGTCTAAGCATTTATAGAGTATTATCAAGTGCATTATGGTGTATTACGAAGTGTGAACTGAATTGTGCATGTTAAGTCGTGGTGTGGCCAGTGATCGCCCTCCTCCCTCACTTTGACTCAGTCATACATGGCTCAAGTGAGTCTTCTTTTGTTTTGTCTTACTCACGAGCTCCTTTAACTCAAGCTTTTTTTTTAATATTTCTTATAAATCTTCTTGCCTGCTGTTCAGTCTCTGTTCACTGCTTCTTATTCCCAATTTCTTCTTTGTCCTACATTAATTTTCGGTCTCATTACCTGCACTCATTCTATTTACTTTGGTCTTCCTTGTATTTACTGTTTTATGTAGTCCATTTGTTTTTCATCTTCGTTCTCTACCTCCTTGGAGTGTGTCAAAGAGGACTTCTCCTTCAAGAATATTAAAATATATTCTTCATTCTGCTCCTCTACTAATTTCTTAATTAGTTTCCTACCTTTTCTATTTATCATCTAATACACCCTTTCCTCCATTTCTATCGCCTTCTTTTCATCCAATTCTACCTTCATCACTTATTTCCATTTTTACCTCCATCTTTCTTTTAAATACCCATAATAAATCCTTGTCTCTCGTGGTGGGCAGCACACTGACCCTGACTACTCGTGCACCTACGTCGTCCTCTACACAGATACCAACTTCAAGGGCTTTGGCCTCTCATTCACCATCGGCCGAGGCAACGAGCTGGGTAAGTCTCCTTGAAAAATCTGAATACTATTTCTCAGGCAAGAAAATTTAAATTATAGCTCTAGAAACAATTATTTCTTATAGTTAGTTTAATATCTTTATTATGCACCCCATACCCATCCTGTGGGCGGTAGTCAAAAGATTACAAAGTTACATAATGGGTCCAGGGACTGGACCCCAAAGTTATGATAGCTGAACTAGTTACAAAGGTAATGAACTATATTAAGTCAATTATCTACTAAAGAAAATTTTTTTGTGTGTGTATAAATGTTCATTTCTTTACCGAGAATTGTTAAGCCAGTCAGATCAAACATTTCAAGCCAGGTCATTGCAGCTAATACCTTGATTATCTTTTGAAAATTCATTAGAAAAATATATGAGTCAAATTGGACAGGTGTAAATAGGACCTGCAAGCATTGCATGGGCCAGTAGGCATACTTCAGTGTTCCACTTTTCTTATGTTTTTAGGCTAACCAACCTTTTCAAGGCCTCATTGGTATTGCTGTTTTACCTTGTGAACGTAATAACCAGTGATGTCTCCCACAACCGTGACATTATTTGGTTCAGGTTTCACTGTTGGGTTATATTTCCCTTAATAAATCATGTTCACTACTTAATCCTCTATATCATCGTTTGACTGATGTTTGAGTAGTAAAGTTGACTGGTGATATGAAGGAAAAATTAACAGAGGTTAGTAGTGAAGATGAATCCACCTGTGAAATTGAAATGAGTTGGGTTAAACAGATTATTGGTGTTGTGAAACAGATGAAGATCTGTCCCTCGGTCTGACTCGGGTAACTCGGGTTACGACAGAGAAGCATCAATAATATGTACTAGAATTCAACAAAGCTAAACACTGTCGCTAGCATCGCCTTTTCCTTCAGCTAATTTTACTATAAGTGATATAGGTAAGAGATGGTTCCTATGTGATGCCGTAAATGCTATTTCTCATTATCTCTTGGGAGATAGATGAGCTGCTGATACTCATTTATGAGTTGCTACATGAGAGCAACATACTGTACAAGATATAGAAACAAAATAAACTGACTCCCTTATCCTGAAGGTAACTCATAGATTTAACAGACGAGCATTACCTCCACTGGTTATTTAGTTTATGTGTGGCCTCCAGTGATATGTTTACCTCTGTGCATATCCTTAGGTGAAGTCTACACCTTCTGTCCGAGTCTATACTCAGTGTCCTCATTGGTCTTTATTATTCTCGTTAATTTTACGTCACCAGTAAACAGAGGATATATCTGACCCAATCATATCTGGTATGCCATTCACGTATACCAGTCAGAAACAGTATTGGTCTTAATACGGATCCTTGTGGAACCTTTCTTGTTACTCCTCCCCATTCCGACATCTTAGACAATCACTCTTCATCTCTTTCCACTAAGCTACTCTTTGAAGTACTAGAATACATACCCTGTTATTCCTGCCTGCACCTCAAGGTTTTATCCCAATCTAGTGTAAGATACAGTGTCAAAGACCTATCACTCCAAGATTATGCAGTTCACTCTGTCCTGTTTCATTTGTCTCTGTTCTGTCGTACTTCAACATATAGTGAACCGGAAACTCTTCTTAAAGATCATTTTTACAACTGTTATGCTAAGTGTGTGGTTCCCTGACAGTGGTGGAAGCTGTGAAGTCCCTTTCGTACCTGGTGGTCGGCAAGAACCTCAGTGATATATATGATGACTTCGCGGCCACCTGGAGGTCTCTCACCTCGGAATCGCAGCTAAGATGGGTCAGTCTCCTTTAGTTGTAATGATATTACTAGAGGCAATATTATTTTTGTTATAAAATGTTCATAACAATAATAATATTTGTACTGAACAACAAATATTAAATTAAAATTTAATTTGAGTATTTCAGTCCTCTAACGAATATCACCTCTTAACGTCCACTTTGTACCTTTGATTCTCTCCTCGTTTCAAATCAACCTTGACTTCATAAGGATCAAAGATGAACCAAAACGGTAACCAACTTCCACTTACATTTTAAACCTGTGGACTAGCTGTGATCACATTAAAGTACTCTCTCTTGTTATGCAGTCTTTACCATTATGAGGTTTTTGTAACTTATAGTAAGCTCATAACGTGAGTTTGTTAGGTTGGGCCAGAGAAGGGAGTAGTGCACCTGGGAGTGGCTGCGCTGGTCAACGCTCTCTGGGACCTCTGGGCACGTATTCAACACAAACCTCTCTGGAAGCTGCTTGTGGACATGGAGCCAGAGCAACTCGTCTCCACCATAGATTTTAGATACATGTGAGTCTATGGGCTGTGCTGTGTATATCATGGTGACATGGGTGATGATACCAGGACTAGAATTCAGAATTATAATAGTTAACAATTAGAAGTAATTTATTCTTTATCTTTTTAATTATATTGTGTTTTTCTTTTTTTACCTTTTCTAGTTTTATTTTTATTGCAAGAGTGTCGAATATGCATGACAGTGTCCTCCATCGAAGACACTGCAAGACTCCAAGGGGACATCAACCAAATCTTTCAATGGGCCGCAGAAAATAGTACGAAGTTCAATGAAGACAAATTTTAATTACTCCGATATGGAAAACTTGAGGAAATTAAAACTATATCAACCACACAACAGAGCGAAAAACTAATGGGAGTGATTAATGTCAGAGGATCTCACTTATAAATATCACAACAATTTATCTACCTCATCTGCTAGAAAAATGATAGGATAGATAATGATAATCAAAACTAGGGATGCCAAGCCCATGATAATTCTCTTCAAATCGTTTGTTCTCTCTAGGCTGGAATACTGCTGTGCACTAACGGCCCCTTTCAAGGCAGGCGAAATTGCAGACCTGGAGAATGTATAGAAAGCCTTCACGGCGCACATAAGTACGATAAAGCGCCTAAATATTACTGGGAACGGTTGAAGCCCCATGACTTGTATTCCCTGGAAGGTAGGCGAGAAAGATATATGAGGGATTAGTACCAAATTGGCACACGAAAATCACTCGCTACGAAAGCAAAAGACTCGACAGGAGATGGAACATTCCCTTAATAAAAAGCAAGGGCACCACGAGTACACTAAGAGACAACACAATAAGTGTCGGGGACCCAAGATTGTTCATCTGCTTCCCAGCATACATAGGGGTATTACCAATAGACCCATGGCTGTCTTCAAGAAGGCGCTGGACAGATACCTAAAATCAGTACCTGACCAGCCTGGCTGTGGTTCGTACGTCGCTTTACGTGCGGCCAGCAGTAACAGCCTGGTTGATCAGGTCCTGATCCACCACTAGGCCTGGTCCCAGACCGGGCCGCGGGGGCTTTGACCCCCGAAACCCTCTCCAAGTAGGAGGGTTAGAGCCTGTTTATCAGGAGAAATCTTTGAATTTATCTGATTCTCTATCCTTCACCCCCCCCCCCCCCCACATCTGAAGTTGACACCTTAATATTGTCATTACCTTTGATCCACAAATGCTCTAAACTCAATGAGTATCATGTGTCATGTGTCACGCGCTTGTGTTTGAACCCGGACACAGGTATGGTAGAAATGTAAGCAGCAACTGGCCAGTAACTGCATAATAAAACTGGTGGACTGGTTAAGGGAGGGAGTATATTAACGATTCTGAGCTGTCCACATGCAAACTGAGGACAATAATACGAAAAGGATTTCAACTGAACTTCATTAACTTGGAACAGAATGGAACTGACACTAGTAAGTCTTATCTTTCTATCATTCTAGAGTTGCCACATGTCTGTGGCGCATTCAACAAAATGAACGTACTTTCGGATATCATTACAGCCCAGCTCCGGCTGGAATACAAGTATACCCCTGGAAGTTTGCACTACGACTAAATGTAACCATTGCCAGAGGAACCATGATTACATCCTGTGTCGTCATGTGCTGGAATGCGAAAAAATTATGAATTCAGAGGCAATTCACTCACAAATGTTCAAGAAATGTCAATGTATTTTATCCACAATGGCATATTACCAGCCATTCAGGGAAAATACCCTGACTTTGCCCTCTGAAAATATCCACTTCAACTTGTTTAAATTCAACCATACCTTGCTAAAATAATTTATAGTGTGTAAGCTACATTGTAATTTTTGGGGACTGAATTCATGTCTGCATAAACAACTCATTACAATTGTTACCAGATCATTAATTTGTAAATAGTTCATTACCACTGTAACTTGCTAAGTTATCTAAACCTTAGGCCCTGTTATATGCGTCTTAATCTTTTGAGTGGGTCTAGAGTAGACTAAACCACGTAGCTAGTAACAAAACATTATGGGTAATGAGAACCATATAATATACCATATACCATGGAAATTTGTTAATGGTAAAAGTATGACACTGTTGAAGTTGACCGGACTTGACAGAGAGGATGTGCTGACGAGGGAGGAGGCGGTGCAAATGCTGAATGAGATGCAGAAGGGTAAGGAGGCGCGAGAGGAGAGGATGCTGAACCGCGGCTACCCAGCATACACCACTGGCGCAGGTGAAGCTAAAGTATTATTATTATGTAGGGTATATCATTATCTTATGACCCTCTCTTTCACGTAGGGTATCTTTATACTAATCAGTAGTTATTGATCCGAGGCATTGGAGCTATTCCCTTCCCTACTTTATAATCCAGTCTGATGACTTCAAAATCACCAGGCGCTGTATGACCCTAAGGAATTACAGATCAGATGTGACTCAGACCCAAGGTACGCCACAGTCATGCTACTGTGCATTTGTAGTTACAGTGTGGCCCATGCTAATATTCTCATGGTGTATATAAATATACGTAGTTGGATGAATCTTGTTAGGCCGGCATGGTCCAGTGGTTAACACATTGCCTGCCATGGGTTCGATTCCCAACCGTTCTATGATTTTTTTTTTTTTTGCAAGCATGTAATTACGATTTCGCGAGACTAACGAATTTAGCTCTTCGGTACTATTGTAATAATTATAATAATTGTCAATGATTCCGTCTTTGCATATTAAATCATACTATATCCATTGTAATATTCTTAAATATTTAGAAATTTCTTCACATAATCATCTTATTTTTATGAGTTGTATTATAGTTCTACTTATTCCATTTCTATTTGTTTTAACTGAGATGAGGTTCTCAACCCGTGAGCCGCGGACTCCTAAGAGGTCTTTGAGTTATTCCAAGGGTTCGGAAGCGTATACCTCGAGTATAACTGGAGAGGGTTCCGGGGGATCAACACCCCATCGGCCCGGTCTGTGATCAGGCCTCGCGGTGGATCAGGGCCTGATTAAGAAGGCTGTTGCTGCTGGCCGCAGGCAAGTCAACGTACGAACCACAGCCCGGCTGGTCAGGTACTGACTTTAGGTGCCTGTCCAGCTCCTTTTTGAAGACAGTCAGGGGTCTGTTGGTAATCCCCCTTATGTATGCTGGGAGGCAGCTGAGCAGTCTTGGGTCTCTGACACTTATTGCGTTGTCTCAGCTTTCTCGTGGTGCCCCTGCTTTTCATTGGAGGGATGTTGCCTCGCCTGCCCAGTCTTTTGCTTTCGTAGGGTGTGATTTTCGTGTGCAGATTTGGGACTAGTCCCTCTAGGACTTTCCAATTGTATATTATCATGTATCTTTCTCGCCTGCATTCCAGAGAGTACAAATCAAGGTATTTAACCGTTCCCAGTAATTTAGGTGCTTTTTCGTATTTATACGTGCCGTGAAAGTTTTCTGTACATTCTCCAGGTCTGCAATTTCACTTCCTTGAAAGGGGCCTTTAGTGTACAGCGATTTGAAAAGAATCGTCATGGGCCTGGCATCCCTAATTTTGAAGGTTCTCATTATCCATTGTTGTTGACATGTTTAAGTCACCCGCTCCTCTCCTACTATCCTCACTCTGCCTATATATTCCCACGTTTATACACTATAGACTCAAAACAAGTTTGGAGATCAAGTTTGGCTTCGAAGCTTTGCCTTGAAGCTTGGTCTCAAAGCTAGGTTTTGAAGCTTGATCTCAAAGCTTGGTCTCCGTGACTGTCCTCTAAGCTTAGTCTCCATGCGTGTTCTCCAAGTTTAGTCTTAAAGCTTGGAAACCTTGAATACGTGTGGGGTGGGCGAGGGTAGGATGCATTAAGTGGGTCCTATCCAACTCTACCCTCACAGGGTACCTGTGAGGGTAGACGTGGATAGGATCCATGTAGGAGTGGGCATGGGTGGGGTGATTGTGGAGGTGGGGTATCAACCTCTATGGTCAACGTGTCAGATGAATGAATGGATAAGTTTACTGGTGTATTGGAGTGGGAATGGATGGATAGGAATGTGTGTGGTCTGACAGTGGCGGGTATGAGGCTGTAAGAGTATTGGCTTTATGGGAAGGTGAGAGGGAATGATGGAGAGTGAGATTGTGAGGGAGGGTGGGGGGGGAGAATAGTTCGATTGGTACGTTGGAGGGGGAGACTGATGGAGGGTTGGCTAGCGAATTGTTTGTGTGAGGATGTGATCCTGATGAGTATAAGGGGTTAGAGATGACGTTTGGAATAATTGTGTACATGGGAACGAATGGTCAGGGTAGATTAGTGGTGGGTTAGGCAGAGAGATGTAGTGCTGGTGGGCAGAGTGGGTGGCCGGATAAAGGCTTCCTCTGGCACATAGTGTAGAACGAAGATGAGCAGAGAATGGCGAGTCGTGCTATTTCGTTGGTATATTTGTTTTTAAGCTGGTCTTCCCCTCAAAGGGACGTTCCTAGATGCAGGTGAGGGGCTCTTGATCTGGGAAATTGGATCTGTGCTCCAATTCCCCGAATTAAGCCTGAATGCCTTCCATTCTTCCCCTACAAGCGCTGTATAATCACTACAGTTTAGCGCTCCCCCATGATAATAATTTAAGATAATCTCGGCTCTTTCGAAAGCATTCATTTCTTGAAGATTGTATCAAGCATTATATGTGAATGGAAATTAATTTTATTTTTGAATGTCCAGCCCATTCTTGCACCACGAGTGAAAAGCTTGCTTATTTGAGCATTTCCTTGTTGCTTTACGCCGCCACCTCATTCCCAGATGTACAGTAGCTTGTAATTAAGTAAACCTGTAAGTATTCTAGAGAGTAATAGAAAATAATCAAACCCAATTTAATCCCTACTAACCTAACTTAAAATTAAGAAAATAGCATTTGGAAGTTTAGAGAAACCATTAAAAATTAACACTGGGAACAAGTGATAGTAAAATGAAGATAGTTTGCATTTTCTCAGGTTGCCATAGACAGCAACCACCCAGGGAGGTACTACCGTCCTGCCAAGTGAGTGTAAAACGAAAGCCTGTAATTGTTTTACATGTTGGTAGGATTGCTGGTGTCCTGTTTTCTGTCTCATAAACATGCAAGATTTCAGGTACGTCTTGCTACTTCTTCTTACACTTAGGTCACACTACACATACATGTACAAGCATATATATACACACACACCCCTCTGGGTTTTCTGCTATTTTCTTTCTAGTTCTTGTTCTTTTTTATTTCCTCTTGTCTCCATGGGAAAGTGGAACAAAATTCTTCCTCCGTAAGCCATGCGTGTTGTAAGAGGCGACTAAAATGCCAGGAGCAAGGGGCTAGTAACCCCTTCTCCTGTATATATTACTAAATGTAAAAGGAGAAACTTTCGTTTTTCATTTCGGGCCACCCCGCCTCGGTGGGATACGGCCGGTGTGTTGAAAGAAAGAATAATAATAATACATATCTAGATATAAACGTAATACAAATAATCACTGATAATAAATGTACATATTTATTATTACAACAGTGTTTATACACATAAACAAAACTGCCTAGCCTTGCTGCATACTTCTTCATGGCACTTTAACTCCCAGTACCAAAATAATCAGGTCTCATGTCAGTCTTGTAGTCAGATATACCTCAACATTCCGCCATAATTCTACTAGTCTATAGTAATAATTGTTACGGACTAAAAGTATAATACTTGTACATAAATAAACTAGTCCCCCTCTCCAGAATATTGCTGATAATCCTTGAGTATACCTGCATGGCATTACTGCTGATAATCCTGGAGTATACCTGCATGGCATTACTGCTGATAATCCTGGAGTATACCTGCATGGCATTACTGCTGATAATCCTGGAGTATACCTGCATGGCATTACTGCTGATAATCCTGGAGTATACCTGCATGGCATTACTGCTGATAATCCTAGAGTATACCTGCACGGCATTACTGCTGATAATCCTGGAGTATACCTGCATGGCATTACTGCTGATAATCCTCGAGTATACCTGCACGGCATTACTGCTGATAATCCTCGAGTATACCTGCACGGCTATACTGCTGATAATCCTCGAGTAATACCTGCACGGCATTACTGCTGATAATCCTCGAGTATACCTGCACGGCATTACTGCTGATAATCCTGGAGTATACCTGCACGGCATTACTGCTGATAATCCTCGAGTATACCTGCATGGCATTACTGCTGATAATCCTGGAGTATACCTGCATGGCATTACTGCTGATAATCCTGGAGTATACCTGCATGGCATTACTGCTGATAATCCTCGAGTATACCTGCATGGCATTACTGCTGATAATCCTGGAGTATACCTGCATGGCATTACTGCTGATAATCCTCGAGTATACCTGCACGGCATTACTGCTGATAATCCTCGAGTATACCTGCATGGCATTACTGCTGATAATCCTCGAGTATACCTGCACGGCATTACTGCAGTTTGCGCTGTGTCTGAAGTTAGAAGTACAGAGTTCACTATTATATCAAGAATTTTCCTTCAAGTCTTGAAGGGGCCTGTTTATTTTGTGGTTGTACACGTAGTTTATTCCACTGGTATTTATAGTAGCCAAGATGACGACCGTGAAGACTGACACTCGTCAATACTAAGACTATCGTTAGTAGAATATTTTATACCGTATATAGTGGAAAATTGAACTTAAAGTATATCCCAGATGCAGAAATGGTCATTTGTTTTTTCTTCCCTGAAAGGCATTGATGTAGGATGGCCTTTCTGTATTATAAGAATATGTAAGTGCAGAAAATAGGTGTTTTGCATCATGTCTGAAAATGTGTCCTGGTTTGAGAATGTGTTCCGTTTTATATCCAATAATTATTGGATGTAATTATTGGATATAAACCAGAACACAAATTAAATTTTGTGTTCTGGTTTGAGAATGAGTGTTTTGCACTGTGTCTAGTAATGCCCATTTTATTCTCAGAATGAGTGTGCTGTTTCTCACTACCTACAGGATGGCTAGGGTACTCGCAGGAGAGGACTCAGACGCTCCTCAAGCAGTATTTGTCCCAGGGCTGGACGCATTTCAAGATCAAGGTGGGACAAAATCTGGAGGATGACAAAAGAAGATGCCAGTTAGTCAGGGATATCATTGGCGAAGATAAAACACTGGTCAGTATTGAGATTAGGAAGGTATGAACGTGGTGCTGTGGTAGTGCCTTCGGCTCACAACTAATGAATCCATGTTCGATCTCGGGGAGGGTGAAAATGCTGAACATGTTACCCCTGTTCACCTAACTGCAAATAGATATTCGGGGGCTAGCCAACTGCTGAGGCTTGCACAGCGATGGAGAGTGGTGTTGTGCATGTCATAGTGGGCTGGGCGGTTCTGACAGCAGAAGCGACAGTAAAATAGTTCCTAGCTTGAAAATTCAACAGAGTATAAAAAAATATACCTCGCTACTGAACCTAGAGGGTAGTTCAAGAGCATGTTGATACACACATGATCTACGAACTAGTCACTTAGCTTTTCTGCTACAATACAATTTATTTTCATTAATAAGATAACATATATAGGTTAGTGTGCTGCCTTTCTCCATATTTCTCAATAATTAGACACTTAAGCACGTGGCGTTCAAAAAAGTGACTACAAGTCTGACTATATACTCTCCATTCAGTTGGATCATCATCCGGGCATATGCTAAGCTGCCAGAAATACTTGTAAACAAGCCTGGCTACAACAATATTGGTCCATCTGTTTACATTGCAAATTTCTCTGTAAATATATTTACACAAATATGTTATAATGGGTCATATATATGCTCAGGCTTCTAATTGTATTTCCTTGACATTTAAATTCGTTATTACACTCTCCTTATACAGACCTTCATTGGTCATATTAAACTTTATATATATATATATATATATATATATATATATATATATATATATATATATATATATATATATATATTATATATATAATATATATATATTGGCTATTTTATCAGATCCAGAGTTTTGGAATTATTGCGTGAAATGGAATCCATATGAGTTGTACTAGAATTTATATATATAATTTTTTTTTTTTTTTTCAACAAGTCGGCCGTCTCCCACCGAGGCAGGGTGACCCAAAAAAGAAAGAAAATCCCCAAAAAGAAAATACTTTCATCATCATTCAACACTTTCACCACACTCGCACATTATCACTGTTTTTGCAGAGGTGCTCAAAATACAACAGTCTAGAAGCATACACATATAAAAATACACAACATATCCCTCCAAACTGCCAATATCCCAAACCCCTCCTTTAAAGTGCAGGCATTGTACTTCCCATTTCCAGGACTCAAGTCCGACTATATGAAAATAACCGGTTTCCCTGAATCCCTTCACTAAATATTACCCTGCTCACACTCCAACAGATCGTCAGGTCCCAAGTACCATTCGTCTCCATTCACTCCTATCTAACACGCTCACGCACGCTTGCTGGAAGTCCAAGCCCCTCGCCCACAAAACCTCCTTTACCCCCTCTCTCCATAATATATAATATATATATATTATATATATATATTATATATATATATATATTATATATATATATATATATATATATATATATATATATATATATATATATATATATATATATATTATATAATATTATATATATATATATATTATATATATATTATATATATATATATATATATATATATTATATATATATATTATTTATATATATATATATATATATATATATATATATATATATATATATATATATATATATATATAATATATATATATAATATATATATATATATATGTCGTGCCGAATATGTAAAACTGGTCAATTAGCAAGAACTTATTTAAAATTAAGTCCTTTCTAAAATTTTCTCTTATACGTTTAAAGATATATTTTTTTCATTAATGTTGATGTAAAAATTTATAATTTTGCACCAAAAGGAACTTAGAAAACTTACCTAACCTTATTATAACAAGCGCAATTTATTTTAGCCTAACCCAACTAAATATATTTTAATTTGTTTACAATAATTTAATACTAAACAAACACAGTGAAATATATTTTTTTCGTTAGGTTCAGAATGATTTTGGCGAAATTATTGCATACACAAATTTTCACTTGTCCTATATGGCAAGATGAACGTTGCTATTTAAGCCAAGATCGCAAGTTCTGCCTATTCGGCACGACATATATATATATACACACACACACACTTTGTTTTTAGAGCGAGTATGTTATTAGTCATTATGTGAGTCGAGTGCATTCAGTAATGACAACAGATAATGATGGAGTTCATTGTCATGAATAAGCTTTAGTGTCATTACGATGACAAACAAATTAGTTTGTGATATTAATTCTTATACCTGACTCGGCAGTGGCAGCAAGAGCAGATGCAGCCCTACCAGTGGACTGGTTTAAATGTTATTATTTTAACTTTCATTTCCTTAAAATCATTTAGGTAAGAAATTTCTTGTTAATAAATATCTGCAACTGATTTAAGCAAGGAGTTACTGGTGATAGGCTTCTTGTGAGGGCTTTATTATACGTCATATTTAATGACTACATCATCCATGGAGGGATGCAGTACTTTTGTCGTCAGTAATGACAGTCGTCCCACAGTTACTAAAAACAACAGACATAGCCCCACTCCACAAAGGGGGGCAGTAAAGCAATAGCAAGGAACTACAGACCGATAGCATTAACATCCCATATCATAAAAATCTTTGAAAGGGTCCTAAGAAGCAAGATCGCCACCCATCTAGATACCCATCAGTTACACAACCCAGGGCAACATGGGTTTAGAGCAGGTCGCTCCTGTCTGTCTCAACTATTGGATCACTACAACAAGGTCCTAGATGCACTAGAAGACAAAAAGAATGCAGATGTAATATATACAGACTTTGCAAAAGCCTTCGACAAGTGTGGCCATGGCGTAATAGCGCACAAAATGCGTGCTGAAGGAATAACAGGAAAAGTTGGTAGATGGATCTATAATTTCCTCACAAACAGAACACAAAGAGTAGTAGTCAACAGAGTAAAGTCTGAGCGGTAGGTGAAAAGTGTTCCGAAAGGCACAGTATCGTCCTTTGTTTCTCACCCTCATATTGACATACAAGGATGTCAGCCCAGCACCGTGTTTCCTTTCCCGATGACCCCGAATCTGCATAAAATGTTTTCCCATTGTAGACCTGCAAGACTCTGGGGGACACAACCAAACTTTCAAGGGCAAACAAAAAAACAATTGTTCAACGGGGAAAAATTTCAATTACTCCGATATGGTAAACAGATAAATTTTTAAAACTTCATCAGAGTATAAAAAAATTTTCAGCCACAAAATAGAGCGAAAAATAACGTCAAAGCCCGGGGAGTGATCATGTCGGAGGATTCCCTTCAAGGACCAAAAAATTTGTATCAAGCATTGCAAAAAAATGGCGGGAGGGATAATAGAACCTTCAAAATAGGGATCCCAAGCCATAGAACTTCATCGCTTGTTCTATCTAGGCGGGAATTCGGCACCTAAAAACCCCTTTTCAAGGCAGGTGAATTGCTCCCTAAAAATGTACAAATACCTTCACGGCGCGCATAACGGAGATAAACCCTAAATTTACGGGGGCGCTGAAGTCCTAAATTGTATCCTGGAACGCAGGGGGGGAGTATCATGATTATATCCCCGGGAAAAAATCCTAGAGGGTAGTACCATTGCAGCGAAAAAACCCCTAAATACGAAAGAAAAATACTCGACGACGATGCAAACCCCCCCAATGAAAAGCGGGGGTGTCACTAGCACGAAAGAGACAACACAATAAGTGTCGGGCCCCAAAACTTTCAACTCCCTCCAGCAACAAAAGGGGGTTTACAATGACCCCTGGCTGTTTTAAAGAGGGACTGGACAAGCCCCCTAAACCCGGTACCTGCCAGGGGGCTGGGCTCTACGTTGGATTGCGTGCAGGAGCAGTAACGCCGGGGGTTTTTTCAGGCCCTGATCCCCCATGGGGCCCGGGTCACGAGGGGCGTGGACCCCCGGAACTTCTCCAGCCATGTGGGTTATAGTTTAAAATACCAGTGCAAGTTTTTTTTTTTAAATTTTGTATTTGTTTTGACTTGTTTTGAGCTTTTTAGCAAGATTTATGGGTCCCCCTTTGGGATAATTCCCAAAATTTTAATAAACAAAGTAGTACTTTGAAAAGTATTACTGATACTGGAATACCAAGTTTTTACTGTCTCAAGGAATTTGCTAGTTTGGCCCCTGGGAATATTATAATTAGTTGGAAAAAAAATATAGGCAACATCAACATTCTCGCTATTTTTACAATTACTCAGAAGGGGGGTTGAAGCCAGAACAACTCTTTAAGCATTCAGATTATTTTTCTTTTTCTTTTTAATGCCCTTTTTTTTTAATAAGATTTCTTTTTGGAAACTTTCTATTGATTCAATTTTCAGATGTGGATGCTAACCAGAAGTGGAATGTGAATGAAGCCATCGATGGAGAAAGAACTTGTCTATAAACCACTATGGACGGGAACCCCCCACCCCTGACGATTTTTCGGGGTCACGCCGCCTACCCAAAGGAAATGTAATGAAAAAGAGCTAACCTCAAGTCAAGGCCCCTTGCCATGGCTGTGGTAAAGTCAAGCGTTACTGACTAATTCAAAATTTTTTTTATTCATTTAAAAGAAATTCTCTGTGAAGTAAAAAACCCGTTAGGGCTTTTACCAGGAAATGGTAGTAGATTGATTACTTCGCCACTAACTTTACTGACCCATATCTCTGCCCAATGAGGCTGTTATGAAGACTTCTGAAGCATTTTTACTCTCCTCAGGCGTGAATCCTTTGGAATGGGGTTGCCACTGGGGAGGGTGTCGAACAGGGTGATTTCAAGCATGTTGCAAGGGGAGCCAGCGTACTGCCAGATGACGCCTGCAGGGGGGGAGGTGTAAACGAGGTCTTTTATCTTTTAATGGCCAAGAATTTTAAAAGGTATGGCATGAGATAAAAAAGGAAAGATACCACCTTTCAATAAAAGGGGAAATTTAGAATTGGTAATAAAAGGGGGGGAAAGGCAGGCAAAAAAATAGTACCCAAGGACATTGCGAAATAAATAAAAGAGGAAATTTTAATTTGAAAAATCTGTTTGTCGAAAAATTTCTACTACTTAAAGTACAAATTTTTTATACGGTTGCAGGTGACA